CAGCTCTTGTCTTTGGCACATCCACTCCTTCAGCATTCTTCTTTGTAGTTGCTAGAGGACCATTAGTGACTATGTCCCAGAGTTCATAGTCTTCTCCTATGATGTGATCCCTCATCCTGTTCTTCCACCAAGAATAATACTGGCCATTGAAAAATGGAGGCCTAGCAGTAGATTGCCCTTCCCAGTTCCCAGGTGGTGCACTCATGTTGATCTTTTCCTAAGGTGTTAGCCTCTTCAAGGATAACCTGCTCTGATACCAATTGATGTTCTTAACGTCAATACCACACAAGGGGGGGGGGGGTGATTTGTGTGGTACCCAATTTTCGCTCAAGAAGAACCTGGTTCTTCTAGGTGTACTAACTACTACTGTTTGCGGAATAATAAGTGCATAAAATAAAGAACACAAAGATTTTTACGTGGAAAACACCTGGCTCAAAAGGTGAAAAAACCACGACCTACTACTCAGTAGGATTTTTCCAAACTTCCACTAAAATCACTGAGCCAAAACAGCATTTACAAAACTCTTTGTAAACCTAAGGATTAACTCTAATCCCGTTGTAGCACATAGCCTCAACTGTTGAGACAACTTCAAGTTAGCATATAACTTGAACACTCTAAGTACCTAATACAATTGCTTCTATGAAAGCTGAAAGGTACAAGTTTAAATCACCTACTACAATTGAACTAGAAATAAAGAAAGACACAATAAAATTGGTTCTTCTATCTCGTTCAAGTAGCTTCAAGAGTGCACACTCAAATCTCACATAAATTACTTGCAAAATTGCCTTGCTCTTTTGCTCTCAATTTAGTTTAACTTCTGCGTTTGTGCAATTTCCTGTAAAAGAGAACAATCACTGTTATTTAATAGGTTAGTAATTAGAGTTTGATTGGGACTCAATTGCTGATCTTCCATCGAAGTTGAGTCCTTGAACATCACAAACTCCAACACTATCTTTTATCCGGATTGTGTTCACTTCACATAAAGAGACTCTCCCCTTTTCCAATATGCAACCTTTTCGATCATATCAGGAGATATTGCTGCTTAATCAATGGGAGTTATCTCCTTCACGTGCATCTCACATGTGTAGGTTGATCATGACTGTACTTCACATGATGGATCTGGTCCATGACTGAGTTCATTTGTCATTCTTCAAAACTTCACCTGTTCTTGGGCCAACAACATCCTCCCCCTCAAAATAGGTTTAGGTTGGCTTTTATATGAGTTGGGGGCGTCTTGGGGTCGAAATAACCGAGTCCCGGTCGAAATAGGACAGATCCGCGTCTTGAGCGCCCAAATCAGTGCATGGCCCTCGCCCTGGCGCTCAACTTTTCAACTTTATGTTTTGTGCGCCACAGGGAGCGCCCCATGTTGCCTGTGGCCCTCAAATGTGCACTTTTGTATTTTCTCCCCATTTTCGCTCCAATTCGCGCACTTTCGCCCCAAATCGCATCCGAATGATTCCTTTACATAGAAATACTACAAATTAGCAAAATCATTATATTATACATCCGAAATCTACGAGACATGAGCACAATGTGAGGCAATATATGCATATTTTAAGCTGAATATCAACAAACAGTCAATATCTGGGCCAGAGCCTCCTAAAGGCCTGGAATCATAATAGACACAGCTGGTGCCTGAGCTGATCCCGCTGGGTCAACCACATCTGGAACCTGCTCCTAAGCTGGGGCAACTGGTGGATCTGCAGGTGGTGCTCTAGCTGCTATACGAGCTGCACCTCTGCCCCTACCACGGCCCCTACCGTGACCCTAGCCTCTCGTGGCCCTAGCTGGTGGTACTGGTGGCTGTGTGTCCTATTTAGTAGCGCGTGTTCTCACCATCTGTGAGAGAATATAATAATTGAAGTTTAGTTCTCGTGGTCAACAAATACGTACGACAAGAATGTGAAGTTTTTTCCTAAGGGTTCGGCAGCCTCTCGAAGTTAAGTACAGACATCTCCGTATCAATCCGCAAGACTCTACTGAACATGCTCATGTATTGTGAGACCTATGTAACCTAGGCTCTGATACCAACTTGTCACGACCCAAACTTAGCCTGTCGGGATGGCGCCTAACATGGTACTAGGCAAGCCGACACCTCAAACATTCCCAACACTTTCAAATGAGAAATGAACTAAAACAAGTTTAATTAATTAAAGCTCTCATAAACTGGATGGAAGTTCAAAACTCAGTACGAAAATTCCCACAATAGGGTGTCACTAAGTACATGAGTGTCTATGCAAAACAAGTCTGAAATATTGTCTATGAAAGGCTGAAACTAAACACATAAAGCTGAAAGATAGGGAAGGAGAGTCAAGGTCTCCGTACGCCGGGCAGCTACCTCGAAATCTCCGAATGACTAAGCTGCTCAGATAATCAGCACCCACCATGTCCGGAAACACCTGGATCTGCACACGAAGTGCAGGGTGTAGCGTGAGTACAACCAACTCAATAAGTAACAAGTCTAATATGTGGTCTGAAAGCAGTGACGAGCTCAAACAATATAGTAGAAATACAGAGTTTAACAACACTGAAGAGTGTGACTGATAAGAAGAGTGTGACATCTCTGTATCTACATACAAAGGTGAATACCGTATGTGATGCAATACAGTGAAATCCCAAGTACTCACGCTTTCAGAGCACTCAATCTGCCCGACTCAATTCTCGCTCGCTACGCAGTCAGTCAACACTGTACGATACCTACTACGGCGTTCAGCCCGATCCATATATAGCCATAAGGCCCATTGCGGCGTGCAACCCGATCTACATATATATATATATATATATATATATATATATATATATATAGGCATAAGGCCTGTTGCGGCGTGCAACCCGATCCACATAGATATAGCCATAAGGCTCATTGCAGCGTGCAACCCGATCCATATATATATGTATGTTTATAACTCACAGCATGGCACTCAAACCCCAAACTCTCCAGTCTGTCGGGCTCACAACACTCATGCTAAACAGCCCTAATCAATGATACGAGATGTGACAATATACAATAACAGAGACTGAGATATGACTCCTAATGATAAATCTGATTGAGTATGCAACTGCAATTAAACGGACAATTCAATAGCAAGGAAAGACCACTGTGGGTCCCAATAGCACCAGCATATAGCCCAGACATGATTTCTAGCATGAATCATAGCTCAAGAGCTCTAACACATAGAGTACAATGACATTGTTCAGCTAAATGGCTACCCAGTTCCAGGATATCGACTAAATCACAATCTTTACGGTGCACTCTCACATGCCCGTCACCTACCATGCGCGTTACCTCAATATAAATCACATAGCACGAAATTCGGGGTTTCATACCTTCAGAACCAAGCTTAGAAGTGTTACTTACCTCAAACCGTGCAAATCACTACTCCCACACACCCTTGCCTCGCGAAACGGCCTCTGAATGCCTCTAATCTAGCCACAACCAATTCGATTCAATCAACACGAGCTAAAGGAATCAATTCCATATGAAATTACTAAGTTCTTTGCTAAAAGTCAAAAGTCCACTCAAAACAGACCCGGGCCCACGTCTCGGAATCAGGTGAAAGTCACAAAATCTGAATACTCATTCAACCACGAGTCCACCCATAGCAAAATTACACAAATCCGATACCAAAATCTCGATCAAATCCCCAAAATTCGGCCTAAGAACTTTTCTCCATTTTCCCCTAATTTTCCAACCCAAATCATTAACTAAATGATGATATCAAAGACATAAACATGGAATTTAACCAAAACTAAGTAGGAATCATTTACCCCAATCAGTCCCTTGAAAATCTCTCCAAGAATCGCCTCCAACCTTGTTGCCAAAATCAAATTTGTGATATGAACTCAAACCCTCATTTTGAAATATTTAAGTTCTGCACAGATATCCCTTCTACGCGATCGCGGAAAAATCTTCGCGATCGTGAAGCACAAGCTCCCTTGCCCCCAGAAAGACCTCTACGCGACCGCACCCAAACGCACGTGAATCCAAAGCATAGGCTTCCTAGGCCTACGCATTCGCGGATGACCAACGAGTTCGCATAGCACACGCGCGTGAAACCCAGCTGCCTCACATCCTCTTCACGAACGCGGCTTAGCCCACGCGTTTGTGATTTACTGATTCCCCAGCCCACGCGATCACATACCATGACTGGAAATCGCATTGAACAAAATACCACAACTGCTCCAATTAGCCTATGTGATCGTGGACCTTCCCACACGATCGCGTGTAAGGAAACCAGATCAGTGCACCAAAAAATTTCATCAATTCTCCAAGTCCAAAAATTGATTCGTTAACCATCCAAAACTCACCCGAGGCACCCAGAACCTCAACCAAACATATCAACAAGTCCCAAAACATCAGACGAACTTAGTCCAGCCTTTAATTCACCTCAAACAATATAAAACCACGAATCGCACATCGATTCAAGCCTAATGAACTTATGAACTTCCAACTTCTACATTCGATGTCGAAACCTATCAAATCACGTTCGATTAACCTCAAATTTTGCACACAAGTCATAATGACACAACAGACCTACTTCAACTCCCGGAACCCCATCCGAGCCCGGTAACCATAAAGTCCACTCTCGGTCAGAGTTCTAAATTTTCAACTTTCGCCATTTCAAGCTTAAATCCACTACGAACCTCCAAATTACTATCCGGACGTGCTCCTAAGTCCAAAATCACCCAACGAAGCTAACGGAACCAACAAAACTCCATTTCGGAGTCGTTTACACATAAGTCAACATCCGGTTAACCTTTTCAACTTAAGTTTCCAACCTTGAGACTAAGTGTCTCAACTCATTCCGAAACCTCTCCGGACCCGAAGCAACTACCCCGGCAAGTCACATAGCTATAAAGCATAAATGAGCAGTAAATGGGAGAACGGGGCTACAACTCTCAAAACGGCCGGCCGGGTGGTTACATATACATTGATAGGTCAATTGATACTTTATTTTTATATAACGAAAATATGCAATTACCTAACATGATCAATCTAACATCAATTAAGACATTTATTTATATTAGCTCCACAGAATCTATTTCCATGATATATAGTATTTAATGTGTTTTTTCTTTATTCCATGGTTGTTTCAAGAAGTCTCTTGCTATCTTTCCATTAGCACCTGCGGGGAAGAACCCTCCAGGAACATGCTCATTGCCAGTGTCGTAGACAATCCTTAGAATCTCAGCAGGAGTTCTTGGATAAGAGAGAGAAAAATAATCAGCGGAGAGTATATTGCTTGTTGTACGATTTTCAGCTCCAAGTTGAGGGGGAACAAAAAGGCCTTCGTCTTTGATTCCACACATGCCTAATCGGTTTCTTAGATCTGAAATGCGAGCAGTAAATTCAGCTACAGTGTATGGATAAGGGAATACTATTTCAGCAGCTCTCTCGTACAAATAGGTACGGCAAACTGCATCTTGCCCTGCTTCAGGCCCCAACAGTCCTGCCAATACCTGTCAAATGGAGATTTATGAAAGGCAAGATGCCGAAGACAAATTAAGAATATTAATGTCAAATGTAGAATTTACTTTTCCATTCAACTTACTCGTTTAGATTTGTAGCCGTTGATGAAGGGATTTGCACCAACGTAGCCATTCAATCCAACATATGGGAGAACATAGCAGGATAGCATGTAGCTCAAGCTGTCTCTATAGGGATCAAATGGAGGCTCCAGTTTGTATCCAAATGCTTCATCAAAGAATTTTGCAAAGTTTTCAGCACTTATATCCATAAAAGGTCTTGGAAATCCACCCACTGTATAAAAGATTGCCCTGTACGTACAAAACCGCCAACAATGCATGTTTAGAAGAAATTCACATTCAGAATTAGGAAATTAAAGAGGATCTAGTTGTGAACATGCATGCTACGTACCTTATATGACCAATTTCTTGGTTGGCAAACTCGTTGATAATATTATGGGTAACAAAATCAAGATTTGCTTTTCGGCCACCAATGGGAGGAGGTCCTCCCATAACAAGTTGTGGTGCAGTTACATCAAGACCATATCCATTGGCTGACCACGAGAAAAACTCTGCTTCCAAGAACTCTAAGTTGAGTGAAAATTGCAGCAAGTCTACGTCCTCTTTGTACACTGCCAGCGGATGCCCTGGAAACTCCATTTGACAAATTGGATAAGAAAAAGAGACATAAACGAGCCCACTTGAGACAATTAGAATGAGAAAATCTGAGATAAAATCCATCTTTAATTTGAGTATAATGCTTGCCATTTGGTTCCATATTTGTACTTGGATTTTCATAATAAGGAATATTTAGACGTCTTCCATCTCCTTTTGAGTGTGGTCGGTTGATGATAAGACTCTTCTAGCTCTACAATTGGTGAATGTGACGTGAAAGTAAGTCCTTTTCCAATTATATTTACTTTTGAGGCCCTTCGTGAGAAAGAAAAGCCTCGTCAATATCAGTATTAGTGACGTATAAGCTTTCTACATGTTTAATTGAACAAGATTTGGCTGAATCAAGCTACGTACGTTCTAAAGTCAGCTTGCTAATAATTCTATGCTATATTGAGAAATGCTACATCTTTAGATGGCTAGAAGTCATCAACGTTTTAACATTTTTATGTCAATATTTTATGTTACTCATCTGCTGAGTTAGCCTCCACTCAATTATACTTTGGTTTAATATCGCTTTAATTTGACCCAATGTATGACCACCAAATATAAATTAACCTACTGGCGTTAAAATACCACAATGAAACCAAAATGGAACAACAGTCCGTAAAATTTTTAGAATCGGTAGAACTGAGTGATAAGCTCTACTGATATATACTAAAAATCTCTAATACAATATTGTTCGGAAATAAAAAAGAAATAGTATACAGTCTTCGAAGCGTTTGAGTCAACTCATTGGCATCCGGCAAGAGCAGAAGTACCTGAATCTGCACAAAAATATGCAGAAGGATAGCATGAGTACATCACAACGGTACCCAATAAGTATTAAGTCTAACCTCGTTAGAGTAGTGAAGGGGTCGGGTCAAGATACCTACTAGACATAAAAGCCTATGCAAAATAGTAATATAACCTAACTAGGGGAAGCAAAAACATTTAAATGACAAATAAGCAATTTATCAATACCAGGCTAACAACAAAAATAAAAGCAACAAATGACAACAAAGAGGGTACATATGATAAAGACAACAAGCAACCAATTACGATCAAAAATACGAATAGCATGAGGTAAGGAAACAAAACAATAATCGTTCAAATCAACAAGCCTTTCCAATGTAGAATGTACAACAAGAATCACATCGAGGTACCGCACCTCATATTCACATTTCACAAATCACAATCACAATCTTCCTTATATCGTCGTGTGAGCCTTGCATATATTTTTAAAATATATTTTTTTCGAAATAGCTTCACACACTTTAGCCCCCTTATCTCACCGCGTGACTTTAAGTAATTCTTGTACTAGCAACACGCATATAAATCCCACCTTATCTCGCTGCATGGGCATCAAAACAACACTATTATACTGTAACAAACCGACCGATCATTTTGTGTATTTGCATCCCGTTTTCTCTTTTGATGCTTCACACATATGTGTTTATGATTTTATGACTTACGGGGTTGATTAGCTTCGTTCCAGGAAGTTGGGCTATTCTAAACCCTGTGGTTCTTGACTTAGAAGCTTAAGTTAGAAATATTGACCAAACTTTGACTTTTGTAAAGATGACCCCGGAATGAATTCAGAATTTTGTAGGTTGATTTGTGTCGTTTTGCCGAAAATTGGCAATTAGAGGTTTAGAAGTTGATCTTAGGTTGACTTTTGGCTATCGGGATCGTAAATTAATTTTTGGGACTTGAAATAGGTCTGTTATGCTATTTAAAACTTATCTGGAAAATTTGGTGTCATTAGGAGTTGATTTGATAGGATTCGGACGCTTGATAGCAATTCTAGAACTTCTGAACTTTACTTTGAAATTCATGCATTTTGGTGCCTGATTCATAGTTCTAGATGTTATTTTTGTATTTTGATTACGTGAGCGAGTTTGTATGATATTTTAAGACTTTTGTGGATGTTCGGTGTCACGCCCCGAACCCGCAGGGTGAGACCGGCACCTGGTGCCTCACTTAACCTAGCGTACCAACTTTCGACTGAGGGACTCTAAACATACAATGTCATACTTTGGACATGGGGCCACATTGCAAGATAATTTGCAATGCAAAATATAAAACTGAACGGAAACTATCTTTGACTAAACATCAATATAAAGTTGGGCCGATAAGGCCGTCATAACTACTACAGCCGACAAACCAACAAAATATACATACAAGGCCTACAAGCCCAACATACTGCACTAACTGACAGGATACGTCTACAAGCCTCTACTTATGGAGGTACTGTGATCAAAACAGGGCCCCGACCTACCCATAACATATATACACAATATGTACACAAAATCCTAGACCCGGCAACTCCGAAAGACGTGGAGCTTACCGATCAAGCTGAACTCAGGCAACACCAACTGAGGAGGTCTACCCGTCTGTCTATCTGTACCTGCACGCATGAAATGCAGCGTCCCTATAAAAGGGACGTCAGTACAAAATACTGTACAAAGTATGTAAGGCAATAAAATAACTGAAAGCTGAAATTGAACTGATAATATAATAACTGAAAGTAACTGGCAGTCAAAGATGATCTAGAGATATACTTACCTGCTGATACTGACTCAACTCTCTCAATATAGTAAGTAAAATAAATGTCCGGCCCTATAAGGCTCAGTATGCGTAACTGCTCGGCCATAGTAGGCTCACTCATAGGTGCTCGGCCAAACTAGGCTAGGTATCTCGGCCATTCTGGGCTCGTTCATAGGTGCTCGGCCACAGTAGGCCCGGTATATAACTAACCATCTAATTAGAGGTTTCCCAATAGGGTCCTGCCCACCGATTATATATAGACCCTCTGCTCTCTTAACCAGAAGAAGACAATACTTAACTGAATATAAACTCCCGATAAGGGAGAATACTATAACTTATGAGACTAGGATAATGTACATAAGCTCAAGAATACGAACTTCTCTTTATGTCTTATAATCAAACATATGTAGTTACTGGATCATGCCAAAATGAAGGAAAGTTTTAGCCTTAACATACCTTATCACAATCTTTCCAATCACCAAGTTGAACTCGCCTTTTTGCACCTTAATCTACTACAACAATAATACGACAAGCTTATTTTGTATTAAAACGGGCAGCATCTCCCTTATAATCCGTACTTCCTCCAAATTAAAGATAACACCAACAACACAAGAGCACAACAATAAAAACATATATACATTATTTTCCAACCTTATATATACCTTAAAATACTACAAACCAGCCCAACACACCCCAATCTCTTTATACACAAAACGACCACCATAGTAGTGTCAAACGACTCGAAAATGTTACGACAAATGACTAGCCCACCACCATGCATTTATGTTGTGTTTCTCCAAACCATTTCTCTTCCAAAACTCCATAAAATAGTAGGAAAACACATAATCCAATAGACACACAAAACATTCCATAAAACAGTCCGCTACAAGTGAATAACTTGAATTCATGGCTTCCGATCACTGTCACGTGAGTTTTCACAATTATAGAATGACTTTCCATACATCTCAAAAAGAAAAAATAGATCAAAGAGAGCATTAAACTTACCTTATTTGTTGAATAACTCAGCTCCCATCTTGGTTCTACAAGCTCTAGGTTTTACCTCCAACTAGAACTTAAAATGGAGAGAAAATCAAGTAGGGTTTGTGGGCAATTTTTTGGAGGATGTTTGCAAGGGTTTAGGTATGGTTATTGTGACCTCTTATCAGTGTATTATATGAACGAAATAGGACATTAAAAGGTCTCTTTGGACGACCCGAACTGGCCCTTTTTTGGACTCTCATTTAAGCAAGTAGGTGACACACCTACTTGTCACATAGCAGCCTGTGCAGTCTCGCAAATATACATACATACATACATATATATATATATATATATACATACATATATATATATATATATATATATATATATATATATCTACTCTTGTGTTGTATTGAGAAACGGTTTAACGATTTAGGAAATAGACTCATAGATCTTTAATTTAATGGGTGGAACACCCCGTAACTCTAAGTATATTGGGAGAAACTGCAGTTACATTTTGACCCAAATTTCAGTAAAACTTATGAACGTAACTTGTGATGACTTTCATCGACTTTTGTTCCACAACTCACTTGACTTCAAAAAATTACACACAAATATCATACGACTAAGATAACTCATAAAATAACCTCCTTATCATGTTAAGCACCGTAGTCTCACCCCAAAAGTACATGTTATAACATTCCCAACTTGTTGACTTTCGACGAAACATTATTTTCTTCAATTCCTTTAGCTTCTGAACCTTCGTTGTTCATGATATTCAATATTTTTAACCTACGAGGTAACATGATTAACTTACTTTATATACTTTCAAAGATGATCTCATTTTTGGTCCTACATTATTTTGCTTACAATGCACTTTCACGTACAAAAATATAGGGTGTAACATCATTCCCCCCCTTGGGAACATTCGTCATCGAATGTTTACTCTTAGAGACTTTGGAATATTTGGCCAGAGTCTCCTCCGTACACTAGACTAGAACCAACCTGCACGCAGCCAGAAAACATACTATACATGCCACACATGGCCAATATCTATAAATAGCAACATTTGGCCTCACACGACCATCAATCATAAATATTGAAAGTCAAAAATAAGAGCTTACTTGATGACCTACTTGCCTGAATAGAGCTTTGCTAAAGTATCTCATCTCGAGCCATATCTTCAGTTTGAAATAGGTGGGAGTATTTAGACTTTATTTCTTCCTCCGCTTCCCACATCATCTCTTCCACATTCTTGCTTCTCCATAAAACCTTCACGAAGGCTACCTCCTTATTTCGTAGCTTGCGGATTTGTCGGTCTAGGATGGAAACTGGAACTTCCTTGTAGGATAAGTCCTCCGTAATATGTACATCATCAGTGGGCACCACTCGGGTAGAATCGCCAACGCACATTCGTGGCACAGATACATGAAAAACCGGATGGACAGACTCCAATTCCGATAGAAAATCTTACTCACAAGCTACTCGGCCCTCTCTTCGAATAATCCTATAAGGCCCAATATATCGTGGGCTAAGATTGCCTTTTTTTCCAAACCACATCACGCCCTTCATAGGCGATACCTTTAAGAATACCCAATCATCAACCTCGAACTC